GAAGGAAGAATGAACAAGGAACTGGGACAAAGGACCATGTTACACTGGGCTGAGAGTTCTCCACTGTTTGACAATCTGTCCCCCACATAAGACACTAAACTTAATAAATAAGGGGCCAAGTTGACCACACATACGTGGGCTCAGTCTTGGAAGGTATCTGATCACAGCAGGCTCTGCCCAGTAGTACCTGGTCTCTCGCTGCTGCAATGGAACTCAAGAGGGAGAATGGTAGACTAGCTGCCACCGAAGATGACATTGTTCCTAACTGGAAGGCTTGTTTTCTATCCCCTCAGAGAGGTCCTTGGGGCCATGAGCCCTGACCACTAAGAAAGGCTTTCTTGCTGAGTCAGCTGGCATCTGTGTCTTGTCAGTTGGCGAGTCAGGATCTTATAGAATCAAGTCATTTAGTGTGAATGTCTTCGGGACTTGAGAGCCAGTTGTTTTGTCTGCTTGTACTTCAACCCGTCACAATGTGAATGGCACTGGCCTTTCATAGCCTGTCATCTGCTTTCTTCAGGTCCCGTGTCTGCCAAGGCAAAGGAACCTCTCTACTTGTTTGTTATCAAGCAGTAACTACAGCTAAGAAGCTGAATGAACAGCACCAAAAGCCATGGTCTGTTTTCTTTCTGAAACAACAGGACATCATCGGATCCTTCCAGAACCATGAGACTGACCCATAAGTGGTTAACCCTGGAGGCAAGTTTCCTAAGTTAAGCTATAAGCAGAGGTTTCACTGCCCCATAAGGGATTCAGTCAACTTATTCAGACACTGTGGGGAGAAAGAAAGAGGGGGGCAGAGGGAGGACATACTTAAATCAAGCATTGAGAGGGAAATTGAGAGTGAGTCAGGGTGAGTCAACTTTTGGGGATATGGATTCATCTTTGCATGGAAATTACAGACAAGCAGCCTGAAAGGGTCTCCCTGAGATCAAATCCAGGCTTCCAGAAAGCAGGGCCATTCCACCGATGCTTCAAATGCCACTGCTAACTAAGAGATTTCAAGGCTGGGCACAAATTCTGGCTCCCTGGAGAGGACCGTGTTGGGAGAGAGTAAGTTACCTCGGCAACTCCTCTGCTTCCAACCAGAAAGGGAGCTTAGTGGAAAGGCCTTTGGCCAGCTTCCTACAGGTCCATGCCTCCCAGAGCCAGGGTTGATGGGTCCCCTCTCGGAAAGAGCGGGAGATAAAGCGGGTGGCCTCTTCCCCACCTTTTCGGTTCACATTTACACATATTTGGTATTGGGTACCACAGCGGCACTTCACTATCACTAACCCAGATATTTCATATCTGTGCTGCTGTAAAATAATAATGCTCCACACAATGTTCAGCAGCCCTCTGCCTTCCAGGGTTCTTCCAGCAGACAACGTGCACCGTAACCACTACACAAGCCCCTTTCTCTTCTACACTCCTCAATGAAGTCAGAAAACATCACTGTTTCACTCAACAAAGCACTTTGATGAGTACTGTGATAACAGCCATTATGTATTGTTCACCAGAAACCCCTACACTTGAAAATCAGTGAGGGAGATGGGGATAAAACATCTCAACATATTTCACTGTCCTGTGTCAGCCGGATAGGAGACACCATGTGACATCCCAAAGGAATTAGCCAGAGAGACATGCCTTAGCCAGGAAAACCAGCACAGGGTTCACAAACAAGATGTCTACCAAGACAAAGTCTGAAGCGTTGGGGTGTGGCAGGCAGAGAGTATACCCCGGAAGATTAGAAGCCTACCTGAGGGAGTTGTGGCTTGGGGGCGGGGTGAAAGCAGGGGCCAATGGCACAGGGTTCAAGATAATGCCTGAGTTATCTCTGAGAACTCAGAGATAGGACTCTGAGTTCACCCTAAACACTGAGGAGATGAGAAGATGAGAAGCCACAATTGAGCTTTATTTTTTTAATTATTCATTTTAATTTTACAAGTATGGGTGTTATGCCTTCATGGAGGTGTGTACACCAATGTATAAAGTACCTGTGAAGGCCAGAAGAGGGCGCTGAATCCCCTGGAACTCATTACAAACCATTGTGAGCTGGCATGGGGGTGTTGGGAACTGAACCTAGCTCTTCTCTCTGCAAGAGCAGCAGGTGCTCTCCACCACTGAGCCATCTCTCCAGCACTAACAACTGGGTTTGGTTGGGTTTTTACTAAGAAATATCACTAGGTACTAGGAGGGTGGTGAACTGAGGGGGTTGATATAGATGAAGAGCTACTAATTAGAAGTCATTCGATTACCAGGTACTAGGAGAGAAGACTGTGGATCAGGAGAGTTCCAGGGGCTACACAGTGACTGGGGAAAAAAAACACAAAAAAACTTAAGATCAATCTAGGAAACAGAAGAAACAGGGCATATGAGAGAAGAGCTAAGGAATGGTTTGGGATAATCTCAGAAATGGCATTGTCACTCAGACAGCTAATGGAAATGTCTGAAGACGAGTGGACATGGGCTCAGAACTAAGATAGCTGCAAGGGAGTCCAGAACGAGGTTCAGCTACCAGTTGGATCCAGGCAGAGCACCATAATAAAGATCGTCAGGGCTTGAGCAATGGCTTAGGGGCTAAGAGCACTTGCCCTTCCCAGGAGACCTGTCAGCACTCCTGTGGGAGCTCATAACCACCAGAAACTCCAGTCCCAGGGAGCTTTTATGGTACCACATGCAATGTGGTACACAGACACTTATACAGGCAAAGCATTCATATATATATATCAAAATGAAAAAATTAAATTATCACGGTCAAATATGCTATTTAAAAATGTTTTGTGGAAAGAGGGTATGTTCTAGAACTATACTATTCAAAATGGTGGCCAGAGGTCACAATTAAGCTACCTAGATTTAAATTAATTAAATAAAATAAGGGGGTTGGAGAAATAGCTCAGCAGTTAAGGGTACTAGCTGCTCTTCCAGAGGGCATTGGTACAATTCCCAGCACTCGCATGGCAGCTCACAACCATCTGTAAGTCCTGTCCTAGGGGATCAAATTCCCTTTTCTGGCCTCCGTGGGTGCCAATCATGCACACAGTACAGAAAATACATGCAGGCACTTGACACAAGCTAAGAGTTATCGTGATGAAGGGAACCCCAATTGAGAAAATGCCACCAAAAGATCCAGCTGTAAGGTATTTTCTCAATTCATGATTGATGGGGGAGGGCTCAGCTCACTGTGGGTGGTGCCATCCCTGGGCTGATGTCCTGAGTTCTATAAGAAAGCAGGCTGAGCAAGTCAGGGGAAAGCAAGCCAGTAAGCAGTTCCCCTCCATGGCTTCTGCATCAGTTCCTGCCTCCAGGTTCCTGCCCTGTTTGAGTTCCTGTCCTGACTTCCTTCAGTGATGAACAAGGATACAGAAGTGTAAGCCAAATAAACCCTTTTCTCCCCAACTTGTTTTTTGGTCATAGTGTTTCAGTAACAGCAATAGAGACTCTAAGATAAGTCAAAACACCCGTACAGTTAAAATAACAAAAGAATTTTAAGTGTTTTAAAAAGAAATAAGTCCTAATTTAGTGTCTCTGTGGCACTAGCCACACTTGAAGTGTCTTGTGTTGCTGGTGACTTGAGCCACGGAGATCCACCTGTCTCTGCCTCCCGAGTGCTGGGATTAAAGGCGTGTGCCACCACCACACGGCTTAACATTTATTTTAATTTTGATGATGTGTCTATGTGCTTGTCTTCATGTAGGCCTGTACATATGAGGGAATACCCTCAGAAAATAGAAGATGGCACCAGATCCCCTGCAGAACTGAAGCTCCAGAGGGCTGTTAGACTTGGTATGGGTGCCAGGAACCAAACGCAGATCTGGAAGAACAAGAGCTCTCACCCACTGAGCCTCTCTCCAGCCCCCAAATGCTTATCTGTAAATACGCATGAGCATACCTAATTTCTTCCAAAGTGCTGCTTTGCTGTGTGCTTTCTGTCGGTTTTCACTGATAACTGCCCTTCGCTGTGTGCCTATCTTTACTGAGACACGCTTCAATGCCTTCGTTCAGTGATGTTTAAGATGTATTTGCTTTAGTCTCATGCACTGGGTAGAGTTTATCCACATTAATCATCTTTCCCCATCGGAATCTCTTGTATTTACAGCCTGCCACGAGAGCAGACACTGACACATTTCCTTTCGGGCCGTTCTCTGGGTCGGCAGAACACTGTGCGTACTCAGAAACACTGATTTCCTGCGAGATTCGCGTGTATCAACTGCCACATTGACAAGGCAAAATACATGTGTGACGCTTAAAATATCTACGGAGGGAAGTACTCGATTAATTTCCCAGTCATACCTATAGATACAGAATGCGGCTTTACCCCTCAGCTCTCTGCCAGGCTGACACCAACGGTATCTATCAAAAATGAGAATGCCAGCATCACTCAGGACTGGCAAGGGCATCTGGGAGGATGGGAACCTGACACCTTGTCTACAGGTGAGTAAGAGCTGATATGCAGTGTGCAGAGTGAGCACTGAACATGAGAAAACTCTTAACCTGACAGTTCTACTCAGAACTCATCCTGATTATGAGATCCACATTAATTATGATTTATAATGAGAAGGTTAGTAATAGAGTAATTAAACAAACCATGGAGAAGCCACCTTAGGGCTCTACACAGGTCTGCTGGTGTGGAGGGGAGGTTGAAACACTGCTACGGCACTCGCTCTAAGTGGCTCTGCTGAGTGCATGCAAGCAGAAAAATGAGCTTCAATGTGAAATTTATTAGTTATGTACTTGTCTGGATTTTGTAATTTTTCTATAGGTGCCTAGGCTATTATAGTTACAGCACCCATCTGTCTATCCATTCATCTATCCATCCAACCGACCAGCCATCCAGGTAAACAATGATTTCGAAGCCTCCCTACCCCTGTCCCAGTCATGCTTCCTAGAGACACAGAAACTTTGCGATTGTCTGGTAAGAACTGCTCATATCTGAGTGAATTTGGTGACCACCATCCCTCCCAAACCAGTCTCTTCTTGCTCTGCTCTCCCTTACCACATGGGCAATGATAGATCTTGCTCACCAAGGTCTCCCGGATACAGCGCCTCTCCAGCAGCCTCTGGGCTCCGCTCTCCACGGTGACTCCCAGCCAGTTGAGCGCTGCCCAGCACCAGAGGTCTTCATAGCTACCATGCCAATAGCTCACAAATGCGAACGTCATCGCGGTAGAAAGCAGTGTTCCCAGCAGGCCACGCTGAGATCCGCCCAGTGGAATGTACACATACCTGGAGAGAGAAGAGGCTGTGAGAAGCCATGCTGATGGATGGAGGGACGGATACACTTGCCTCCCCTGCTTTCTGGCTTGACTCTTGAATACCTGCATTATTGCTTAAGGTACAAAGAGTCTACTTCCAGGAAGCTGTAGGCCAAACCTTGAGCTGTCCACCTCACTCATCATTGGCCAAACCCTAAATTCGCACAGGGTGTGGCTTTAGGTCAGATGAACAGACACACCAAAGAGCCCTTACTGTGGAAAAATCACTTATAAGAGGCAAGACGGCAGCAGTGAGTTTAAAGCTGGTGAAGGGATGTACCCAGCCTTGGAGCCCATCACGGGGCACCTACTTAGCTACTGGTGTGGGGAGGACACTGACCGTCGTGGAAAGTGTGCATTTCACAGCTCAGACTACTAAGTTTATGGTAAAGCCATATTTATATGCTGGTAAAGCCATTATTTATACAGAGTGGCTAAAAGGAGGCCCTCACGTGGTAGGAATGGGGTGTATAAGAAGGCTAGGGGGGCTGGTCCCAGATTCCCAGGCTAGTGACCCAGAGGCAACTCTGGACTCACAAGGGTGCTGGACCAATGCCTCGCACTCTGCCCCAGGGCACGGCATCCTCAGATATGTCTCCAGGCCTGAGTGACAAGTGCCCACATATGAGAACATGGATGTGTGGGAGCTCACCCTTTTCTGTGGTTTCCAAGAGACCACAGGCCTCAGTTTCCATTTCCTCTTTGCCCCAGTTCCCCCTGCGAGGGGACAGAGGTCTTCCTGATGTCTTCTGAGACACTTTACAAGGATCTTTCCCCCTTGATGCACCACGCTTCCCATCTGCCATCCCAGAATCCTGTTGGTTTAGCATTCGTACTGCTCATGCGCTGCTTCCTTACTGTGGAAGAAGCGTTATTTAAAAGCTTCATTTCTAATGGCACTACTTCTCAGAAGAAGACATAAGTAAATAGAGCCAATCAGACCAAAAGATAAATGTCAAAAAAAAACTATGTAAGTATTGTATTTGAAGTAATTTAAACAATACATAAGATGACACGTATTGCTAAGACACTGTGGTGGTCAATAGATGTGTGCATTCAATGTTATTGGCTCCTCAAACTCTTTTTTTTTCCAGAATTACGAGGCTTGAATTCAGGACCTTCTGCATGTTGGGAAAGAACTCCACCATATCCCCAGACTCCTTCCAAAATCTGTTTTTCTTTATGGTGAAAATGTTCAGAATCGTTACTCCAAGCTTCTCTACACGCACGCATGCATACACATGCATGCGCACGCGCGCGCACACACACACACACACGTTACTGTCCTCAGTCGACACTGTCAATTCCCAAAGAAACCTGGCTCAGGTGTCACCTGTGGCTCCCCTAGTACCTCTCACCCCAACCCCTATTCTAAACCCTAAAGCCCTCCCAGGGGCTTTGCTCCTCTTCCCCCGTCTTCCGATTCCTATATAACTCAGTTGTTTTGGCCCAATGCCTTCTGGGTTCCCATGTGCTCTCTTGGTCCTAGCCTCCTCTCTTCTCTTCTCTGTTCCCACTCCCCTCCTCTCACGGCCCGGTCTGTTCTACTGGCCATGTTAGGTCTGGACCCTTCTAGAAGCCTCTGGCCATTCTCTCCCTCATCTACAATCTTCTCCACCACATCTTGGAGCGGCCATGCTCTCATTTCATTCAGTCACCTCACCATGCACCAGGAAGCTTGGGCTTCTTGTCCTAGCTGTGACGGGGTTGACTTTGTCACTGCCTGAAAGTGAGTTCTAGGACCCTGCCACTAAGCTGTATGCCCAGGTCCTCCTCCACAGATTCTTGCCTTGACAAAGCTTTATTGGGTTCCTCTAAGTCCCCCACACCTTGGCTTGGTGTTCATTCTTGTCTGGCCTGCACCACCCAATTGTAGCAAGACTCCTGCTGGGTCAGTTTGGGGAATGTCCCCCCATGTCCCACCCGATCCTTTTCCCTTCCTCAGCCTCCTTAGTCCACCCGGCCTCCTTCCAGATAGAACCCCATTAGGCTGGAGACCAGGGTGGTGGCTCAGTAGGTCAAGTGCCTTCAGTGCAAGCACAAGCGCCGGAGCTCAATTCCCAAACACTCTCTGCCAAAAGTGTGATTTCAAGGACACATGTAATTCCAGGACCAGGGAAGCAGAGAAGCGTGGCCCTGTGGCTTGCTCCTCTCCTCTGCTTGATAAGCTTAGGTCAGTGAGACACCAGTCTCTAAAAACAGCACCTGAGAAATGACACTGAAGTTGTCCTCTGGCCTCTACATGTGTGCACACATGTCCACATACCTGCACACACGTGTTCTTACACATAGACTACACAAAGAATCCCACTGGGTCTCCCTAAATCCCAGTGCTTCTCTGGTAATCTCCCACTCAGTGGTCCCATGTGCTCTGAGGGTCTGCATCTCTTACCCTCATGCTCACAACCGAGCCCAGTTCCACTCTGAGCCTTCCTCCACCCCACACCACAGCTGACCCTGCACGAAACTGCACTCAGCACCGCCGTCCATCACCGCTTTCCTGTAATGTCTGTCACTCCCAAACGTCTTCCTAGTTTGGATGATAAATCACCTTAGTTAATCCCATTTTATGAGTGAGAAAACAGAGGCTGAAAGTTAATTTGATCAAGAAACCCATCTAAGAGGAAAGGAGCCGAGGCACAGCCTACACCAATGCCACCAAAGCTTGTGTCTTCCTTTTAAGGCACAACCTATACCAGGGCCACCAAAGCTAATGTCTTCCTTGCACCTCTGGCTTATTTCAAACATCCTCTGTCTTTCTCTCTAGTCAGAAAGAATGCTGAAGTCATGTGACAATGGAGCCATCCCAGCAACCAAATTAGTAACTATGTCTATACATCAAGTGTCTATATATTAAGGCATGTTCCTGAAGGGGCTGAAGATGGCTCAACTGTGGGCATAATTATTCAACCACTAAACTAAAAAATTAAAATAAAATCTAAGACAGGTGGATCACTTGAAAGTTCTCCTGGACTAATAGGTAACCTCCTGGACTAATAGGTAACCTCCTGGACTAATAGGAAACCTCCTGGACTAATAGGTAACCTCCTGGACTAATAGGTAACCTCCTGGACTAATAGGAAACCTCCTGGACTAATAGGTAATTCCTGCACTAATAGGTAATTCCTGCACTAATAGGTAAGCTCCTGGACTAATAGGAAACCTCCTGGACTAATAGGTAAGCTCCTGGACTAATAGGTAAGCTCCTGG